TAATAGCTAGTTCTTATAAAGCGCTTTTCAGGACCGAAGCGCTTTACAGATATATGTATTATTACCCCGGTCATTGGATTCAGGCTTACCTGCACACAATGTATGCACATTCCCCACTCCCTCGGGAGCATTCCAGCCAGGCGTCATGTTTACAAGCGCACACTTGCTAATCTAAGTACAGTAGCTTTCGCATCCTACCGGGTACCCATTTAACACCTGGGTGGAGAGTGGCAAATGTAGATCAATGTCTTGCCAAAGGACATAAGTGCCGCGGTGGGACTTGAACCGCGGACCTTGTGATCTAAATCTAAAGATTTCCATCCAATATGTTATCTTCCTGATTATTTTCAGGGGAGATGTACCATCCCAAATACAGCTAAGAAGATATGGACAATACACGGTCTTTGGTAAGTTCGACCCTGAAATATGATTATTTAAGTGTAGGCCACTCCAGTATCTTATTTAGAAAAGTATATCTTTATTCATTTATTTATTTATTAACTTGATAATAAACCAATCTTATATCGCGCATATCACAAAAAAGGAATTTAAGTCCCTATGCGCTCAGAAGAAGAAAAAAAGGGTAATAGCAGACATAAGGTAATAGAAGAGAAAGAATAACTGCTTTGTCATAACATCGTACTATTTTAACAACCGAAAAAAGGACGTGTCTTTGAGAGACTTTTGAAAGTTTCTAGTGTATCAAGCTGCTTAAGATGACTAGGTCGTTTATTTCATAACTCTGCAGTTGCCAGTTGAAAGGATCTCGCACCATATTAATTTGTTGATATTGAGGGAGGAATTAACGAGGATTTTCACTGAGAACGAAGGTTTCTTGCCGGGCAATATTTTGTTATCAATTGTTGTAAGTAATCATTGCCTAATCCTTGCATGAACACCAATGTCAAAATCTTAAAATCAATTCGTTGTTTTACTGGAAGCCAGTGCAGTTTTTCTAATACTAGGCTAATGTGATCATGAAGTCGAGTGCGAGTAACCAACCTTGCCGCAGAGTTTTGGATATTTTGCAACTTCTGAATTTTATTATCAGGAAGACCATAATTATTATGAGGTACCATTACAGATTAATTGTTTAGTTATTAATCTATTTATGTAATCATTTATTTAGTTGTATAGTTGTATTTTGTTTCAGGCCTTTCAAGAACAATTTTAACTCTACTCCAGCATATATTTTTTTAATAAATATTTTATTTTTGTATTCATTTATTTATTCATTGACTTATTTACTTATTCATGTATTTATGTATTTATTCATGTATAGGTCTATTTTTTTAGTTATCTATCTATTTAATTATCTCTCTATTTATGAATGTATTTATCAATTTGTATTTTATATTTTAAGAGCAACGTGAAAACTACGTCATTGTCGTATTTATTGTCTTTTTATTTACTCATTTACTTTTTTATTTATCTATTTATGTATTAATTTATTTACTCATCTTTTTGTGTATTTATCTATTTATTTACATTTTATTTCAGGCCTTTCAAGAGCAACGTGAAATCTTCTCCAATAGACTGTCCAGGAACCTACGACAGTAGTGCTATCTCTGTAAGTCAAATGACATCGCCTTAGTATAATATATAATTATGTTCTCAGTTATCGTCAGCGGATTTAGGGTGGGACCTGGATAACTCTCCCATTTGCAGTTTACACAAATACCATTAGTTTCTTTTTTTCTCGTAAGTTCCTTCTCCCTTGGGGCACTATTCAAAATATATTATAGATAGCATATTATTATAGGTCCTCTAAAAGGAATAGACCCTCCTTAGCAATAAACTTTCGTAAATGTCAATTTTAGTCATTTAACATGTTGAAACAGATGGGAAAGTAGTCCGGCACTACATCAAATGGACAATACTGCTTCAGCCAAATGGAAGTGCCCATACGTATAGTGATTACAAATTTCAAAAATTCATAACTTTCTTTAATTTTGTCAGATTTAATTGAAACTTCATTAGTTCGCTTTTGCCTTGTTTTAGAGTGGTTGTCTATTTTGGTTGGATTCCCCTTTAAAATGCACACTAGTATGTACTGCATAATGAACCTTTTCTGCTGACGTCTATAGTTTCTTTTACACCGCAATCTAATACAAAATTTAATAGGTCCACACAGTTAACCTTATATGTTTATCCCAATTTTCATACTAGTCTATACAAACCACGTTGAACGAGAAATGGCCGAGCTATAAGACTGGTGGAACCAATGACGAGTTATGGTATGTATCTAGTCCTGACTTTGAATAAGATGGTGCTAGAAATTGGCAGGTGCAGGATTCTCGGGGGAGGGGGCAAAAGTCTTGAACATTCTTTGATAAACACAAACAAATTCGGCCATCGCAACTTTACCGGGTGCGCTTTTAGTAGACTAGAGCATTGTCTTGTCCCTTTCTCGTCTCTGTTGGCTTCCGGCCCTCTTACCCCCCCCCCCCCCCCTGTTTTGTAGTTCCTTTTGTAGTTACAGACTTTTTAATCTAATTACTCATTATAGTATTCCTAAGTTTCATTTGAGGTGTTTACACTTGTACAAGCATTGCTTTTTAATGGACCCCTCTGTTTCCAACATAATTCTACATTTGTTTTATATGCTTATAATTTAATCATGAATAAATTGAAATTGAAATCGAAATTGAAATTAAATTGATTCCATAAAGTCTTGAGCAGAGCCTAGCCCCGTCGGCTAAAGAACAGAGCATATGGAGTGCACTAGACCGGGAAGTCGGCATAGTCTCTTAGTTCAGATACTCTGTAACGCAAAACGAATTTCAAGTCCCACCCTTAGGTCTCGCTTGAGTTCTGTAAGCGGGGTTTCTATGGCATCGTTTCTTCATACTCCTCAACCATTCACCATGATTTACCCTGCAGGGCCTGCACAGTATACCGCTGTATATCTGGTGGGTAATTAAGTTGTGATCAGCCAACGCATAACCACCCAAAGGTCCCATGTAACATTAATACATATCATGCTTATTTGGCATATGAATAACAATCCGACTTACATACGCGTTTATCATTCTGTTTGTTATTTTGTTTGTTTGATTGTTTTTAGTTGCTTAATATGTTGATTGATTGATTATTTGTTTGTTTATTTGTTTGTTTATTTGTTTGTTTTTAATCCAGGAAACATGAGTATATAAAGCACGGTACATGTGCCAGTGATTTGACAACGTTTAATTCTCAACTCAAGTACTTCCAAGGAACCACGGACCTCTATGACAAATATGATATAAAAAAGTATGTATAATGGCTTTTACCACATTCTTCTTCTTTTCCTCCTTCTTCTTCCTATTCTACCTTCTTCATCTCCCACATCATCATTTTCTTCTTTTCTCACTCTTTTTTCTACATTTTCTCAATCTTTACCTTCTCCTTTCCTTTCTCACCTCATCTTTCATTCCCTTCTTCTTCCTCTTCTCTTCTATTGTTTTATCTTCTTCCTTCTCCTCCTCCTCTTCTTCTTCTTCTGTGTGTCTTCTCTTTCTTCTTCTCCTCCATTTTATCCACCTCTCCTTCTCCCTTTTATCCACCTCTCCTTTTCTTCACCATCATCTTCTTTTTTGTCTTCATCTTCTCTTTGCTTATGACGTGTACATAATAGGCAAGCAGGGATGGAATAGGTAGTTTCACTCACCAAGGATGTGTACGCGAACTTACTTATTATCTGTGAGATACAGAAAATGTGCAGCGTATGTATTAGGCTTACGTCATTACACAAAAAGACCCACAGGGGTTTACCCCGTCATATTTTATATGAATGAGGTTTTACTGGCGTCCTTCCTCAAGCTTCATTTTAACCCGGTAAACCGCCTCAAAAAAGGCGCGTTTAGATTTTAAAGACGCGGTACACCCCCCCCCCCCCCCTCACCCTCCCTCCCCCCCCCCCAAAAAAAAAAAAAAATGTGTCACACGTATTCACTCATCTCTGTGTTATAAGATAGGAAATGACAAGCTATTACACTTGACATCATCACACAAATAATCGCGGTTTGGCCGCATCATGAGCAATGCTTAAACCGCTACATGAAAAGAGTACTGGGCCTCACGCAGAACGTGAGGACGCTGAGGGCGGGCCTTTGTTGCAGGCACCCCCGTTTCATGTACCCCCAACTTATCATTCGTTTACTCTCAAATAATCACTGGCTAGCATTTGGAATGTCTTTCACAATATAATTGTTTGGTTTAAGATTTACAGAAAAATGTTCACCACGTTCGCAACAACCTATATTGGTCCTAAATAAATTACTATTAATGAGGGAATAAATATGGCAAATTTTACTTATTTTGTTACAATTTTGTCTTTCTTTAATTAATCTATTTATTCTTTTTTGGGGGAGGGGGGTCCAATGCTATACAATGGTCATTGGCTCAAAAATCAAATTAGCATTGTTAGGCTAACAAAATACGTATTTTTCTAACCAGAATGATTTGAAACATTATGAATTAAATGACTGTAAACATCGTTTTAGATTTGAGATTGTATTAAGAATAGATTGATACTGTCTGTATGTTGTCTGTTCCTTGAACATATGTTCGTAATATTATATGATGTAGTTTTGTGTGTTAATGGCCCAATTTTACAAGCTATGCGTCGAAATTTAGTCAGTCGTTATCCTAATGTGAATTGCATAATTTAAGTCCTTTAACTGTTTTTCATAATCATTGATTTGAATAAAGAGAATTATTACCTCATCTCCTCGTGTTTGACAGAATCTTGGCAGACGGCGACAATGCTGTAGCGCCCTCTAACAACCTCAAATATCCATTGGCCTACATCACTTCAGCCCTGAAGAAGGGCCTTGGCGTCGACCCTAATGTCTTCTGTGTAGTAAGTATGATTTATATCAAGGACACATCCTAAACACATTTTTAAAAATCGTCGTTTAAAAATAATAAAAAATTAATCGTCGGTGTCCTACATTAATTAGCACGGACGCGAGGAGAGTCACATGAGCAAAAGTCGGTGTCTTACTTGCCGACGTTTGCCGCTACACTGCAACAAATCAGTTAAATTTCGGCAGGCGTTTGAAGTTGCAGTGTAAATGCAGCTATTCGTGGGCAATTTGACACCTTTCGGGTAATTTTCCGACAACAGATTTTATCAGTCACTAAGATTGGACATCACAGCAGGTCTTACGTAATGTGCGCACCCCCCCCCCCCCCCCCCCCAGTTCACTTCTGAAGACTCTCCTCACAACGTGAAGTGATCGTCATAAATTTGACACCTAAAAAATGGCTGAAGGGTTTTTATAGCAAGTTCCACGTCTGGAGCGACATGTGTTTCGCTGCGTGCGGGATTTGTACACACAATGATTAGTAAGTTCCCTCGTAATTCCACCATCATATGGTGGAATTACGAGATAACTTACTAATGCCCGATGTATGCTAACTATGAAAACAGACCAAAAAATAAATTCAAACGTATGACGAAACCGAAATAATACCTCTACATCTCTCTCTCTCTCTCTCTCTCTCTCTTTACTCTCTATTCTGGCGTATTAACTACACTGCCCGCAGGAAGAGCATGTGACTACCTTGGGTAAATAAGACCAAATTATTATAATTAATGAATTGGTTTATTATTAAAATCATCTACAGGAGAAGAAGACTGTACAGTACCTCTTTGAAGTTCGCCTGTGTTTCGACAAGACTCTCAAGCCAATCACTTGTGGGAGTGCACTGGTAGGAGGGGTCAATGCAACCCCCTCAAAAAGGTTGTTTACCCCCCTTTCGACAGCTACATCACCACTAAATCCCTGCAGGGAGCATCCGACGATCTCGCCTTCCAATTCCTGCTCGACGTCGTTGAGATGGGTGCGAGGGAGATGATGATGACGGAGGAAGAAGAAGATGACGGCAGGCCTTTGTTGGAGACCCTCTTCAATGACATGTGGGAAAAGGAAGAATAAGACGCGGGCTGTCTTTGGAAACTCAGTAACTTCTGTTACATCTATTACTATGGGGAATAACTCTTAAAGCTAATTTTGAGCTCTAGTATGGCACTAAGTCTTTTGGCAAGAAATTAATCTACATTTAACCCTCTCCACCCAGGTAGAAAATCGATACATGGTAGGAATTTATCCCTTGTGTGTGCTTTGAGCGCCTTTCGACTATTAAAGCTAAGGCCAGGATAATAATATATGTATTACTTTGTAGGCGTCTTGAACGGTCGGCTCACTATACCATCTGACTACGATCCGAATTTGGCCATAGCATTTGATATGAACATCCAAACATTTAAAATCGTAATGATAGATGATTTGAATAGTCATATGATTAATACAATCACAGATTCATTGGATCTCACGCTTCCTTGGAGGAAGAATAGCTAAATCGTCTCAGAATTATAGTGACGTCATACCAGTAGTACGATTGTGTATGATTCGATTCGGCTTTTATTCTGAATAGAAAGCTTTAATGCACTAACATTCCGGTTGTTAGCATTCTTATCATTACTTAGAGCCTACATCAGGAAGATGTTGTCTGTTCAGATTTATATATCTAGTATAATTGCAATTTTTTCGAAAATTGGATCGAAGGAAGATCAGATAGTGCGCGGTGGGCTTTTAGCGTAATATGCGCATTATTAATGTAGCTATTGTCATTTTCTTTTACTAACTCAGTTTCATACTGTTTACCACCTAAGATTGAAGCTTTTTTTAGTTAGACGTTCATACATTATTAGTGTAGCGTATTAACTTTTCATGAAACACGTTATCAAATAAAGTCTGTTCCTACTTCAACTTACATTGTTTTCATACTGTCTTCGCGTGACTGTAATGATGGATGGAATAGATAGAGGGCACTGTGGATACAATCATTCCTAACAGAATGAATGAATGAATGAAATAATTCTTAACGAGGGGCTTCACAAAGATTGTAGTACGAAAGTTACATATTAGGTTGGTACAAATCTGATGGTGTCCAATTGGTTTCATTAGATCACACGCACTGCCTCTTCAAATATTCAGTTCAAATTCATTTTTAATTTGGTTGAATTACGAAAATGACCTATTCAGTAAAGTCACGCTCGGCCCTGTTTGTTTATTCCGAGAGAAACTGTTACTAAATGTATTTAGGCAAATCCACGCAAAGGTAGTAATCCGCGTCAGAACGAAGATAAAATGCATGTAATCATAATACCGAAGTGTTGGCTCAGTCAGTAGAGCGTCCGCCTCACAAACCGGGAGGTCGTGGGTTCGAACCCTGGCCGCGTCATACCAAAAGACGTTAAAAGATGGGAGTTGTTGCTACCTTGTTTGGCGTTCAACAGTAAGGGATAGAGCAACGTCGATCTGGCGCTGATCAGTGGCTGCTGGGCTCACGATCAATCGGGCAAAAAGAATTTCCGTTTCGGTTTAATAAAATTTGGAGTACACTATAAGGCTATTATTATTATTATTATTATTATTATAAGGAACGACTGTTCTACAAGGCAGCTATCAAAGTGATAGTGCAAAGACATGGTGATTGATTGAATGATTGATTAATTGATGAATTGTTACAGTCGAACCTGCCTTAGTGACCACCTGTTTACAAAGACCACCTGTCTACAAGGACCACATTTGTTGTTTCCCTTTAAAATGGTTTCTCATTGAAACATGTACTAAATGAACCTGTCTACAAAGACCACTTTTGTGTGTCCCTTGAGCGGTCGCTATAGACAGGTTTGACTGTACATTGATTAGTGGATTGATTGATTGATAGATGGTTTCATTGACTGGTTGATTAGTTGATTGAATGATTGATTAATTTATTGAATAATTGTTTCTTTGGTTGGTCGGTTGACTAGATTAATTGATCGATTGGTTGATTGTTTCTTTAGTTGGTTGGATGGTTGTTTGGTTGGTCAATTGATTGATTGATTGATTGATTGGCTTTTCTTTCCGAATGGCAATTGAATAAGGTATTCCTCAGCTTGTGTAAGCCTGCAGTTGACTAAGACTCGAGCTCTATGTGGGATAGAGACGGCTTGCTACAGTAGGTGTGCAGGGGTATAGGTCGAAGAACATGAGGGTGATTATTATTGTTCCGATTTTTTCGGTGCTGTCTTTTGCTCTTTTTTTGTTATTATCCTCAAAGATTGAGGCACCTTGGTAAACTGTTCAAAGCCAAGCTTGGTATTGAAACTAAAACAATAAAAACATATGTTTCAAACCTTTTTATAGTTTTCTTTTAAACATATGAATAAGAATTGGCAACGTAACAAAAATTGTCAAAACATGACATCAGCGGAATTCTTGTATTGCTAGAAGAAAATAATAATCTTTTACATATCTACTCCAGAAATGCTCATTCAGTGCACGTGTAACCAGGGTAGTATCATATGAACAGGGCCTATTGCTAATCAATCACTTTCTCATCAATCTATCGCTCTCTTTCTCTCTCTCTCTCTCTCTCTCTCTCTCTCGCTTACTGTTGTTCTTTGTTGTCTAAGAAAATAGACTGTATTGAATAAACTCAGAAGGCCTATTCATGCCTATAAAGCTGTCACTCAAAGACTAACTTCAAGAGTGATTGATAGTCTTGGATGCCCTTACATTTTCACCATGCCCTCAAATAAAAGGTAAAACCAAATGTCCACATAACTATTCTTTGCTGAATTCCAGGGCCAGCACTGACTAAACGGATACTTCTCGGAGCAGACGACATCTTTCAGAGACATGCATAGCCGGCCAGGACTGTTTATCGAAGGGATATCGACAGCACACTTTGTCAATTTCAACTTTGTTTAAAGACTTGACAGATAAGAGGAGGGATTTGTGTTTTTGATATAAATATTTCAAAGACAGTATTTAAGAAGAGAATAATGAGGTCGAAAATTACAGAGGAGGGGTGTAGAAAGATGAGAGACAAAAATAAGGAGAGAGAGTGTGTGTGGAAAAAAACAAAAAGTAAGAACAATTATGTTTTTCGAATCCACATTGAATCAATAAATAAATATATAGTCGGAAAAGGATTTATTTTATCTTCCCCCAATCAGTTACTGTTCAGTAATTTTTACACCAACTGCAATCATTTCACACACTTGTTCATGACACTCATGATTGGTTCACTCTGTCCTGACGTGTATCTGTAACCCGCCAATCACAAAAGCACATTTACCTTTGTTTGGTCACGTGTTTCGTGTATACTAATCGCGGTATTTTAGAGTCTGTTCTTTGGGGTTTTTTCCTGGCGTAACATGATTTATATGAATTTATATACAAACTTTATTTTTTTTAAATCCTAAAAATGATAGATTTATTGTGTGGTTGAGGGAATACTAATTTAGACATGCCAGATATTGATTCACATGCTTCATTTTGTTTGGGGCTGTGGTCATACTGATATAACATTTGTGAAACGAAATAGCTCTGATAAGATCTGGAGTTGATGAATAGAAAAACGTTAATTATTGATTCGATGTGGATTTGAAAAACATTATTTTCCTTACTCGTTGACTTTCCCACACAGTCTCTCTCTCTCTCTCTCTCTCTCTCTCTCTCTCTCTCTCTCTCTGTCTCTCATTGTCCTACACCTCTTCCCTCACACATATACGAACATTATCAAAACCCTCCTCTTTAATTTCTCGACTTTATTGTTCTCTTTTTGAGGTGTCTCAAACTCCCTTTTCTTTTATTCAAATACAGTTTTTTATTAAAAATACTAAAATCACAAATCCTAAAATCCTTTAAACTACTTAATTCTAAAAATAACTTCGCTTTCTCTAATTTCAAAGCTCCTTTACAATTATACCTTCTATATTTTCTCTCTCTCTCTCTCTCTCCCTCTCTTCCCTATCTTTTCCCCTCCCCCTCTCCCCCTCTCTTTTCTCTCTTTCTCTCCCCTTCTCTCTTTCTCTTTCTCCCTCCCTCTCTCTTCCCACTCTCTTTCTCTCTCCCCCCCCCCCCTCTTTCTCCCTCTCTCTTTCTCTCTCTCTCTCTCGATCTCTTCCTCTCTCTCTCTCTCTCTCTCTCTTTTCCTCTTTCTCTCTCTCTCTCTCTTTCCCTCTCTCTCCCCTTTCTCACTCTATCGCTTTTTCTCACTCTATCGCTCTTCCCCCTCTCTCTTATATTAGTGTGTATGGTGTGCTCCTCCCGACATGCGTGGAAGAGGAGGACTAACCAGCCATCATTGCTAGTGTGGAGAGTAGATGAATTAGAGACACAAACCACGAGACAAGCAAATCGATAGCTACAATCGTGATAAGTTTACAAAGCTGAACCTTTAATTATCAATTTTAAAATCTCGTATATTGACACAGCAAAAAAAAAATTTTTCACTTCAATGATCAAAGTTAATGATTATACTAACTTTGTCAATTTGTGTAGGGATAAAAACTTCGGTAACAATTTTAACAAAATAAATCTTTCTATGTTTGATGCCCCCCCCCCCCCTCAGTTTTCATAGGAATAGAAACCCGGTTAGAACTTTTGCGTATTAGGCCAACAACAACAAAACATGTTTAGCGTCCTGCCTTTTTGACAAATAAGAAGAAGGAGGCCCCCTTCTTTTCGAAATGGCCGCTCGGTACATTTTTACTGACAGTTGGGCTATTTTTCAAGATGGCCGCCTGCGTTTTTTTTTTTTTTTTCTTTTTTTCTTTTAATCAGAAACAGATTATCAAGTATTGTCGACGAGGTCTTCAAACGATCTAAGAAAAAGTAAAATTGCTACATGATAGCTTTAACTCTTTTTAGACTGTACATCGAAACCCTAGACTGCTTTATTTCCGGAATATAATATATAAAATGAAAGTGTGACAAGTTGTATGTGACAGTATACTGCTTGCTCCATTAGTTGACGGAACCCTGTTATGAGCTGAACATCAAGCTCAACAGCTTTCGTCACGTTAACACACGGCGATTATTTAGGCCTATCATGTATTTTATTCAAATATAGATATCAAACGTCAATTTGTTATTATGAGTGATGCATTTACCTATGATTCTATAAAAAGGAAGTAACTCTGAAATAAAAAAGGATAAAATCAATTGTAAACCAAAGATAACTTAAATGGAACAAAGTTTACACAAAATAACAAAACGCGTTTACCTCATTGTTCTGTACTTTGACTGCGCAAAATATATCCTGCGGTAATTCCTCCGCTTTAAAACAGTATTTCTTTTTTTGACAAAAATAATTTTAAAAATATATTTCATAGAGATAGATTGTCAACAGCTCGTGCTGAAAAACAAACGAACAAAAAACGGAAAATCAAATGCAAATACAAAACTGCACCTCTGTACACTGAGACAAATCGGATGTGCCGTCGATTAAAGAAATGCACTTTACCAAAAATGTTAGTAAAATTTCACTGGCACAGAATTAAACAAGCTCAATCGTAATTTAGTCCGAAAAAGAGATGGATTGGTGTCTATGTACCCCTATCAGAAACCATGAAACCAGATAGCATAGTTGCAGTATAACATCTTGACAATGAGCGTGGACTTGTATTATATTTCATATTTCATATCTCAGGGTCATAAATAATCAAAATAATCTTATATTTTTAAAAGCGAAGCTACTTTTTTACATGAAAACAACACATATATTCAATAGAAAACTACTGTGGTCTTAACAATTTAACACAAATAAAAATGAAACTCATGATCGTAGCCTACTTTGTTACATGAAGAACAACAATTATGTTCAATAGAAAATTATTGTAGTTTTAATAATTAACAC